GAAGGGTAAAAGATTCATCATTTGTAAAAGTATTTCACTTTCACCAAAAGAAAAAGACCTTTTAAAATCTGATAGTATTAGCTTCTTGAAAGATTACATAGGAAATGCCCCATGCCCACATCATTAATTTCCACTGAAGTAATGCTGAGTTCTCCTTTGGTGATGCTCTCTTAAGCCTGTCGCTAGCTCGGTCACCTATGTTGATGTATAAAGCCCAGGCAGCTCACAGAGGCTCAGGGCCACAGGGACATAAGATGTGAGGATGGATTGGAAAAAGGCAGGCTTTATGTCATGTAGGAACGAAGCCCCAGGAAGCAGATTCTTGGGGCCCATCTCGGGTGACCCTGACTTTCAGATCCCAGCTTAAGCTACATGCAGGCCCAGCAGCAGCATCGTGGGTCTCATCCCAGATGGCGATGGTGGTGCTGGTGAGAGAGAGGCTGGGAGTGAGAGCACGGTCCCTGCGCTGCACCGGCCACCCGCCTCCTTCTGGTTTCTTCTCCAGGCCCGCAGCATGGTATTTTTAACCATGTCTCTTGCACATCTGCGGCCTGCGTGTTTTAGGATGCTCTGACTCACGGCAATGTGTTACAAACAGCTTTTGGAATCCACCTCCCTATGGTGTCCCACATTTTCATAGGGTTTCAAAAATGAGTCAAGTACCTGAACCTTCTAGATTCTACGGTTTTTCAGAACTTTTACATTATGACTGTGGCTTTTTTTTTTTAGAACTATAGTTAACTTGATAGTGTCACTGATGTATGAATCATCAGTAAAGAATACATTTTTTTCAGGCTAACAAAAAGTTCGTTCTTTCTGTAAAATTTGTCTTTTTCAAGGAGAAAGGTGTCAAAGGTGATTTTTTTTTCTTTTTCAGGGATTCACAGAGCTGCTTCCTATTGACTTGATTAAAATTTTTGATGAAAATGAACTAGAGGTTTGTATTATAAACATTACAAATAATGTTTTTATATTCTCTTTGATCCGTAATGTCCTAGAGTGTGAGTTCAGAGGAATTCTGTTTTGTGTCTCTTATGGGCCTTGTTTGGCAATTTGGGAGTCAAGAATAGCAAAAGTACTGAACCGTAGTTCCCTGGCCTGGGAGGGGGCAGTTCTGGAATGTACCAAATAAGTAGAGGCCTGCTGAACTGAATTGGGTTCTTGGCCCTGAACACCAGATGAGGAAAACTGGTGTGTCCAGGTGGAGACAAGGTTTGGGGCAGTAGCAACCTGTGAACAAGACCAGGCTGGGGGAGAATCTCGTGCCACCTCCCGCCCTGCCATGGCAGCCCAAAGGGGGACTTGGCCACATGGAGGCTGAGGGGCTACAGAACAGATGTCTCATTGAGCCTGAAGAGGTTTATGTCACAGAAGGAAAAACATCAGGCAGTAGCAAAAGGTGTTGGATGACTGTCTATTTCAGCTTCTTGGTGTGGATGTAGATGGGAGATTATAATTAAAAACCGAAGGAATATCTCACCCTATGTGTCAAGAGAAATGGGAGAAGGAAGGCTGAGTCTGTGGAGGGTTTTTTTTAGATAAGATGATGTCATAGAAATCACAGACTCCAAGCCCTTCATTTCATAGGTGGGAAACTGAGGCAGAGACATGTTAATGACCCTGGGTTTACCCAGCAAGCTTTTGGCACCGTCACGCCTAGGAACCTGCTTTCAGGCCTGTGGTTTAGTTCTCTTTCCATTTATCCTAGTGCCTCTGCAGGAATAGTAGGGCTGTTTGTCACGGAAACTTTCCCTGCTGGATAGGTGCATAATAAGAAAAGCAAACTTTGGGCTAAATGCTAAGTCTCAGGACCCATTACTGCCTGAGAGCACATCTGCAGAACATGGGCCTCTGCACCGCTGAGGTGACTTGGCATCACCTGAATTAATCGATCTGGAGGAGATACGTTGTTGCTGTCATCAGCACTAATTCTTTTGTGGGTAGAGAGGTTTTATCCAAATATTCAGACTGTCATCCTCTCAGGAGGAAAAACAGCCAGGGTCACGTCCACATGCTACCAGAGTGGAAGCAAACCCATGAGCACTGCACTTAAGATGAGTGGGGTAGGGAAGAAGATTGTGGAGCTTTTATTTCCAGTGTGAAGCATCATGGCCTTACACAGGGTTAGCATTAGGTCACCCTCATTACCCGCGCTGTCTCTGTGATCTGCCATGCAGGTAAGGTATCCGCCTCTGTTTGTTTGTGTGAGTCGCTGCTTAGCCTCCTTTGCACAATGACAAAATGCCGGCATTGAGAGAGGTCATGTTGTACTATACTGTGACTGTCTCAGCTTTCACACGCTGCCTTGTTTACATCTGGTAAATTTCCTTAATAGTTGCTGATGTGCGGCCTTGGCGATGTGGACGTGAATGACTGGAGACAGCATTCTATTTACAAGAACGGCTACTGCCCAAATCACCCTGTCATTCAGTGGTTCTGGAAGGTAACTCAAGGGCCCAACCCCTGCCCCTGCCCCGTGTTCTTCCACCTTGTCAGAACTGGTACCTCTGGGGTCCCCCAACCCTGCCAAGAGCTGATTTCAGGACTGATGCTAAAGCTGGAGTCTGTTAGTGCTTGCACTGCTGGCAGGGGGCGGAGGGTGGGGGGAGAGGAGCAGCCTGACCAGCAGACAAACTGGGCTTCTGCTGCAACTCGATTGGACAGCCCGGCTCGGACAGCAGGGTCCTGTGCATGCTGCCCTTCCTTGATGACTTGGTGAAAGCAGCTTTCATTTGAGGAACCCACTGAGTCAGATGAATGTGGAAAGGAATTAATTGGCTTCAGGAGTACTGAAAGCTAGTCCTCCAAAGTGTAAATGAGAATAGTGATGCCCGGGTCATAAACATGCTTTAGGGCCGGCTTTTTCAAGATACCATTTCCTGTTAAGAAGTCATTTTCTTCACTTTTTTAAATTCCAGCAACTATTTTGATCTTTATATCTTTCAACCAAAGATGCAGATGAAATTTAACTTACTGTCTGTGGCCCAGTGTGTGCCTCCTGTTCAGCTGAGAAGGATAGGAAATAGAAAATGGTCAGTCCAAAGACGAGAAGTAAACTAACTTCACAAAAACTGTTACTCAAGGCTGATTTACTTACAGACGAAAGAGATCACTATCTTTTTATAATTTCTAAATATCTATTATTACTCTTAAGTGCCAGATGTTATCTGTAGGGAATGTGTCTACTTTCTGAAACCCCATCCCATGACCCGGATTCCCCTGGTGTTGGTGCTTTTTGAACATTGTGCACTGATAATCGGTTTAGGGGGAACCGGCCGGCCTCACACAGAGAAGCATGAGCTCGATTCCATCAAAGAGTTTGCCTTTTCTATCACTTATTTTGGTATGTTGGCTGAAGAAGAGAGAGGCGTTGTGATCACTCACCCTCTAAGCTTAGAGAGGCTGGTACTGTGGTGGCCATTAAAATAAAAAACAAAAAAATGGCTCATTTTCAGAGTCAACTGCGTGGGTCTCAGATGAGATTACATTCTGCTTGCACTGCAGCCACACGTGCAGCATGTCCCGTGGGGGACTTAATGACCTTCTGCCTTTGTTCATAGGCTGTGCTACTGATGGACGCAGAAAAGCGTATCCGGTTACTGCAGTTTGTCACAGGGACGTCCCGAGTACCTATGAACGGATTTGCCGAACTTTATGGTGAGCATGGGATGTCTGTAGATTCAGTTCTACAAATTTCTAGCCAGGCGCCAACTGTGGCCCAAGAACGCTCTGCCTCCCAGGCCTCTTCACAGGGCTGCAGAGACTTTTTAGGACAGCAGGGACCTCATAGAGCTGATGGAAGCGCTTCCTGTAGATGGGTAACGGGTGGGGGCGGTTTGTGGGTAGAACCATAAGGGTCAGTCATCTTGTGGTTTTCCTTTTTTCTTTTTCTAGTTCAGTTTTTTGGTACTTTAAAAACTAGGTTTTGCAGAATCATCCATGTGGTTATAAACTGATCATATAAAGGACACCTCACTTTCAGGTGACAGAATTCTTCAGTGACTTTTTTTTTTAATCACTTTTTCTGCTTTGCATAGTGAAAAGTTCCATTTTCCCCCCCAAAGTAGTTTTAAGCCTAAATTTCCAGGGTTCACTTGAGAGGTTGTAGCCATCTCCCCTTTTATATGCTATGTCCGCTATTCCTGGTGTGACCCCTTTCTAAATGTAGTGCAGAGTCTATGTTAGGAGATTGTACAGGCCTTTTGCTGCCCTCAACATTAAATACGGGAGAACCTCTGTAAGTTAACCACCCAAGGGACCGTAACAGACTGGCCAGCATGTGGAGGGATCAGCGTAAGGATCTAGGCCTGCCTGCTGTACTGACATTTACAGCCTGTGGAAATTAGGTCAACTTGAGGGGGTGGTCAACTAGGGAGGTTCTACTGTATTAAATATTCACCAGGTGTAATGGCTCACACCTGTAATCCCAGCGTGCTAGGAGGCTGAGGTGGGAAGGTTGCTTGAGGCTGGGAGTTCAAGACCATCCTATAACATGACCCTATCTATACAAAAAAAAATTATTTTTTAATTGGTCAGGCAAGGTGGCATTCTCCTGTCATCCCAGCTACTCAGGAATCTGAAGCAGGAAGATTACTTGAGCCCAGGAGCTCAAAGCTGCCATGAGCTCTGACTGCACCTCTCCACTAAAGTCTGAGAGACAAAGCAAAGTTTATTTCTTAAGAAAATAAACATTAAATATGATAGTGTAGCAAAAGAGTGGCTCTAGTCTGGTGCTGGGGAAAGCTGCCCTGGCGGTGGCTGGTCTGTCATCCTCCCCCTTTCTTTAAGTTACACCATAGCTTGGTTCTGTGGCCTGACGCGCTCTTAACACGTCCCTCTCTTTTCTTGTCCAGGTTCCAATGGTCCTCAGCTGTTTACAATAGAGCAATGGGGCAGTCCTGAAAAACTGCCCAGAGCTCACACATGGTGAGTGACAAAAACACATGGTTGTCAGCAAGCTGTATTTTACATACTTAGCTGTGGACGGGGCTGGGCTAGAGACGATAGGGTGTTAGGTTTCCTGCCCATAAAGAGCTTAGCAAAAAGACACAGATGAAGACAGAAATTGTACAGTAGTGCTCATGAGACGTAAAGCAAGGTTCAGATGTGTCCAGTGTGCTTGGCACACAAAGGATTCAAGACTGTGGGGAGCTCCTCTGCACCCCGTCTTTCCCTGATGCCTTCTAGGTGGCAGAAGTGTCACTGTCCACCACATCAAGAAAAGGCAGCACCCAACCTCTAAACCAGCAGTTCTCAACCTGTGGGTCATGACACACAGGAACTGTACTAAAGGGCCGCAGCATTAGGAAAGTTGAGAACCACTGCTCTAAACAGATCAGATTTTCACGCCAACCTTAAATAAAGTGTTTAGAACTTAAGATAAAATTTTCTGTAGAAACAGCCTGTCTAAAAAGCCTCAGGTGTCCATCAGTAGCTCTTAATGCCCTGGAATTGACTAATGTGATTGTGGCCAAGGAGTATGAGTGGTCTGATAAATAACACGTTGCCAGGATGACAAGGCGGAGGGCGCCTGCCCTCAGAAGGCCCCCTGGGGTTGCAGGGCCAGGAACAAGGGTCCTGGTGGTTTTCTTCGAAGAGTTACATAAAACCTGACACAATGCAGTGTCCACACACTCTTGCTAATCCAAGTCCCCATGTCCTTTGTGGTGGGTTTTCTGCATAGGTGTTTATTTCTTGTTCCCTAGGAAATAATAAAAGTGGGCCTAGAAAATGGTGAGCCAGAATGCCCCCCTTGCTCAAGCAAAAGGTGGGCTTCAAAACTTGCTTCAGTCGTTGTAAACTTACATATAACCAATGAACACTCCCTGCAGGAAACACTTCCTTAAACTATTAAGTGCCGGCTAGGTGAGAATTTTCATGAAAATGTATTTGTGAGAAATGGGCTATGAAAGGTTTCTTGCCGGCTATGAAAGGTTTCTTGCCTCTTTTTGACTCTTGCTTTGCCAGAAAGATTTGGGGTTTTTATGTTTTTGTTTTCCCAATTCGTACCATTCATAAGACTCTCTGAGTGGAATGAATATGGTCATTGCCAGTGAAAGCCTGGAAAGCAAGCCAACTCCAGCCAAAAATTGGTTAATATCCAGAATAGTCAGTGTCCATGGTTCTCTGCCTTTATTGTGGGTGAAGAGTGCTTTGTAGTTTAGAGCTTTTATCCCAGTGTTGTCAGAGTTAAATGTGGTTTTCTGGATTATGATAGCCTCAGTTTAAAAGGCAGCCAGCACTGAGAAAAGGCAGAGACCCAGGACCAGGGTGCAGAACTCCCAAACTCATGGTACTTACAGTGACAAAGAGTAGTAGGAGCTAAATTACTGGGCACGGACGTTGTCTGTGGGTCAGGCACTGTGTAATCTTTACAGCACCTTCTGATACACTATTACTGTTCTCCAGGGCTGTTAGGACACTTACCTGGGATCACAGTTAACAGGTCCCCAGCTCACAGGATTTGAACTGGGGTCTGGTAGAATTAAGAGTCTGCGTTTAAACACTACACCAGATACACTGCCTTTCTTAATAAACCACTTTCTTTGGAGGCTCTTCAAATAGACCAAACTAATGAACTGATTTAGTGGTTAGCCCGTGTCCCTCTGTGACTCTGCTTATAGACAGCTGACTATTCAAATTTTCCTCTATTTTGGGTCCCATATGCTTCAGCCACAACTAAAACAGGCTACTGCCCAGGTGAGACCTCTGAACTCAGTTCTCAACCCTGGCTGCACATGGGAACTATCAGAAACTTTAAAAATGCTGATGCCGAGAATTTGGTCTTGGTCTAGCATGTGGCCTGGGTGGTAGGGGTTCCAGAACTCCCCAGGTGATTCTTGCAGGCAGGGTCTAAAGTTCACATCTCTTCCCTAGGAAGGGTAAAGGTCAACCCAGCAGAGGAAAACTGCCCAGCTGGCTCTTACTAAAACTTGAACTTTCCTCTCTCTGTGTCATAGAAATAAAGCAACCAAAGCATTTCCCAGTGGCACCCTCCGCAGGCTAGGGAGGGGGCTGTTCTGCTTTCTCTTCTGAGTCCTTCCAACCTGGCCTTGAGGGTACTGTGATGATGTGGGAAACAGGAACTTCCTTGGCTGCCTCACAGCAACAGTTCCACAACAAAATTTAGCCATGTGTGTGTGCTGTTTCTCCTATGCTTCATGAAAATGTAAATTACACCATTAAGCTTCAAAATAAAAATCTGAGATATACAGAGAACAGAAGCTGATAGATCTGGTTCTTTGCAAGGGTGCTTTTCATTGACCTCCGATGCCAGTGTGAGCGTCTGATGTGCAGAGGGCCTCGTTTCCTTGTTCTGTTAAAGGTCGCTACTTGGACATTAGAAATTTCTCTTTATCAGGATCACAGACCCACCTGCGCTTTCAGGCAGACCCTTCTCATCTGACTCTTCCCACACTTCTAACACATGGGGAAGCTGAAGCCCTCTGAGGACATTGACCTTCTCAAGGTTACCCAGCTCATTAGTGACAGACTAAGGCAGATCCCTGTCTCCTGACCTCAGCAGTAATGGAAGTAATGCTTACTACATGTCCTAGGCATGTGCTGTGATTACTTTGCATAATCCCACCAATTTTAAGAGGCCAGTAATGTGACCCACTTATAGATTTAAAAAAAAAAAATGAAGGCACAGACTCAGAAGCTCAGCTCTGAACACTCTTCTTTGCCCCCTCTCTGCTTTATGCCAGTGTTTCACAAACTTGTACGCTCTGTGCACCTTTTATTATCATAGGTGTGCAGACCCTGCAGGGATTGCAGGCCCTGGACGGTGAAACCCCCACTGGAAAGGCTGCAGCCTCCTTCTGTGACAGGCTGCAAATGAGCCATCTGCACATACAGAGTTCTGTCTTTGTAACTAGGAAAGTAATGTTTTTAGGTCATTATCAATATGAAAACAAGTTAGAAACTTTAAGACTTACTCTTTTAGGCTTCCTAGGTTTCTGAGAACCCCAGTTTGAGAAACACAGTGCTAATCTCTATGGCCCTTAGTGTTTAGTGGCTGTTACAGAATCGGAGTAGAGTTCAGTTCAGTGGGACTTACTAGACCTTTCAAGGGCTGTGAAAGGCCCACCACAGATACGTATTTGTTTCTCACTGCTGCTACTAATGGTTAACTTTCAAAATGTAAGAAGTGGTTCTGTTCATATTGCAAATGACACAACAGTGCCTAGCGGGGTTAGTTCAAATGCGCCAGCTGGGGTACTCACAGCAGGGGCAGCATAAGCACAGGTGAAAGGATGGGCCTTGTTGCCAGCCAGGGCTGAACCCAGCTTTCCCCCTTAGTGTGTGACCTTAAGCAAATTACCTAACCTTTCTGTGTCTCGAGTTCCTTCTCTATTAAATAGAGATAAAACAGGGATGAAGTATTACCTCCCCCCGGGCACAAGGCTGACAGCTGGGGTGCACACTCCGTCCTAAGCCATCATTAACTGTGGCAAGCGTGTGTGGCCTTTTTCATGACAGGTGCATGTCAGCAGTCTACCCATGAGGCTCAGACTTTCTCAAGCCCCAGGTAGACGCTTAATAAATGTTGATGAATGATACCACTGATCACAAGCCTAGAATCCCAGCTAGTCACAGGGTACTGGCAGGAGGTCAGTTGATCCCAGGAGTTGGAGTCCAGTCTGGGCAACATAGTGAGAAGACCCTATCTCTTAAAAAATGTTTAAAAAGGAAAAAGGATGAAAACTTGATAAGTGCTCGGCGCAGTTCACATTCACCAATTTGATCCAGCACCCTTGTGATTAGCTAGATTTGTGATGAGCAAATAGAGAGGTGAGGTGACTTCTCAAGGTCACACAACTGGCAACTGGCAGAGCCAGAATTTGGACATGGTCCCATAACAAGTCAGTTGCTCCCAGAGGCCATCCATTTGTCTGAAGACCTCACTATCACCAGGGTTGTTTTGCAGCCGCCCTTCATGGAAACCTCCCTATATGTAAGAGCGTTTTTATAAATGCAGCCTTTCATGTGAAATCTCTACTTCCCTGACTTGGATGAGAGGAGGTAGCTTAGGATTGGTGTTCTGGAGCCCGAGACAGCCTGGGTTCTGTTTGTTGGTCTGCCGTGTTCCTAGGGTGTGACCCCAGGCACCCTGACTTTACCTCCCTGCTTCAGGATCTGCCTCTGCAGAGTGAGATGACGTTACTTACCTCACAAGGGTTGTGATGAAAACCAAATGCATTAATGGCTTGAGGCCTAATGTAGAGTAAGTGGTAGACATCTGAGACAGACACAGCCTCACTACGGACGTAACTCCAAAAGCCTAAATTCTTTGTATTTCGTGGGTTTGGAAGTCTGGATGTGCATGTGCGTTACTTTGTCTTCCACGGCCCCCTTCCCACCAGGATTCTCCCGAGACCCACGTCTGACCATAGCAGAGGTTTCCTGGACTAGCAGAAAATGGTTTTCTCCTCTCTGTAGATGACGTAACCTATTTGCTGTGGTCGGTTTCCCAGCTAGAATTTGTTTTTCAAGATTGAGAATTCTTGGTGGACCCTTTTTTTATCCTCTTGCTAAATATCCTGCCCCATCAGCCAAATCTAGCAAGTGCCTTGGTGGCTTTTCACCTACACGTTGTTCCTCTTGCAGCTTTAATCGCCTTGACTTACCTCCATACGAAACCTTTGAAGATTTACGGGAGAAACTTCTCATGGCCGTGGAAAATGCCCAAGGATTTGAAGGAGTGGATTAAGCAGCGCTCCCCGCCTCGGGGCTGGTTGTTCTTCGAGCAAGTTCTGCTTGCTCTTTTGCATTTGCCTAGCAGACTTTTGCAGAGATGATGGCAGAAGAGCAGCTGCAGGCGTGGCCCCTGGAGCTGAGCCTTCGACCGTGCACTCGCCCAAGTTCAGACTCGGGAACCTGGTCCCAGCTCGAGTCCCTGCATTTCCCACCACAAATTACCGACTGGTTGACGTGTACACTAATTACATTTCAGGAGGACTTACGCTATTTATGTTGTGCCGCTGCAGGCAAAGCCCTTAATAAATATTTTACATACTTTCTAATGACAATGAATGGAATTAATCACTCTACAGGTATGGTATTACAACTCATGTTTACTTTTTAAGATGATTTAGACCGATTTTCAGATTTTATTTAATTACAATTAAAGATGTCTCATGTACTTGGAAAAGTGAGCATTTTTTTTTTTTTGTATTTGAATTTCATACCAGTCAATGATTTTTATTTGTGAAGTTCTTTGACACCTCCGCCCTCTACTTTATTAGAATTGGAAGACTAATTTTTGGTCCAAAAACCTTCTACAGACTAGTACTTCGAGAGAATTTCCAATTCCAGTATAACATTAGACATAATGATAATTTTCTCCATACTCAGAAAAACTTGCTATCACAGTTTTGGGTTTTTGTACAAATCTAGATCATAGCTACAGGCTGAGAGAATTGTAACATAGCATGACAAATTTTGTGTTGACTTGAAAGGAATCTCACCATTATTCCTTAGAAGTAATCACATGTGCTATAACACATTTTTGAGACAGGGGTTGGACTTCTATTTCTCGTAAGAGAAATCACTTAACCCTTCCCGATGCTGTATAGTCTATTTTATTCTATTTCCTCTTTGCTGTTTGTAGTAGAGACATTTCGAATGAAGCTTGGCACTGCTTGATTTGAAACTGTGGAAACCAGATCTGTCCAGTCTCCGGTCTGTATGCGTTTGCTAACGGTAGCCAAATAATCGATTTTTGTTCTCTCTGTACCAATTCTGAAGGCACTTTATGTACTACATGGAGGTCATATCTGGTTTTGTTTTTTTATCATAAACATCAAATGTGATGCTGATTTCTCTTCCCTGCACACACCCCTCTGGTGCCATATTGATCAATTGTGGATCTGGCTGCTGGTGTATAAATAAATACCCAGATGTGAAGCTGAGCCTGCAGACCCGCCCTCCCCGGCCATGATGTGATTTCTACTCAGCTACCAAGACTGACTGAATACACAACCTGATCTGAGTTATGTTCCCTATGACCTGTTGCATGCTTTGAAACTGCCTGAGTCGTGTCCCTGGTGCACTGCCCAAGTTGTGTCTGTCGTGTGCTAGTGAGAGAGAAGACTTGCTCCAACCCTCAGAGGTCAAGGTGTTGCAGGGTCGTGGCGGAAGATGGAGGGGGTCTGCACTGTTTGATTGTTTCTCAATTGTTTCTGTCACAGAATTCTGTTGTGTTTTGAGAAATCCCTGAGACTCGGAGTTCCGCCCTTACTGTCCTTTTTTTAATCTTCGTTGTCTTAAACCCTGTTGTGGTAGTTAGAAGATACTAGAGATTTGATCTCATGCCAGTAGTAGATAAGACCAAAAATTATTGCTTCAGGAGCTCTCAGAGGTAAAAAGGACCTTTTGGCATAAGAAACAAGAGCTCCCTTCTACCCAGTTCTGGTGATGTGTGGAAGCCATGTTTGTGGTGGTAGATGAGTTGTCTAAAGGGATGCCGAGGCCTGGGGTTTCTGAAAAAAAGGTAAATTTCTACAGAGCTGAATATTGACTTCTTTGCCATATTGGTTTCAAAATATACTAGTGATCAGAAAACTTAGATTTTAGGTAATGATCAAAAATAATATCACTCATTATTTTTGTCTGTTGGTGGTACTTTTCCTCTACTGTCAATATAACCAATGTCTCGGTGGCAAAAATCCCCTTTTTGTAAGCCGTTATAGTTCAGAATCCGTTTTCTTTTAAATCTGATGTCAAAGCCTGAGTTGAGCAGCAGCGTGCTCCCATGGGTCCTGAGAGCAATTGTGTAATTACAGGGAGGAAATCCAATTCTGGTGAAAGACTGAGCTTCTTCTGTCATTTTGTAAACCATATATTGGGAAAATCAGAATATTCACTACAAATTCAGCCAAGTATTGAAAATATGAAAAATCATTCTGATAATTTCTAAGCCAGGAACAGATAAGAATTATCAAAATCTACCCCATGAATATTTCAAAGGCAGTAATTGTGAATGACAGTTCAGTTCATGTTTCTGTTGATAACATCTGATTTTAATGACAAGTAAATATTGCTAGATTGGGAGTTTGGTTTTTTTTTTTTTAGAAAATCAAAATAAGGTTCATTAGTCCTCAACAGTTCTCGGAGGTTTCACTCTTTTCCCAAAATGGTCATATATCTTGTTTTTGCCAAATCTCGTCAGCCATGCTCATTCGTCTCATGAGGTAATTGCAGATGGCAGCAAGGGTGATATGCAGCTTACAGAGTAGGTTGCTGGCTCATTCCTCAGGGGCCCCCCTCAGAACCCCGACAGCAGGAGAGGTGGGTGCTGTCAGTCATCCTGCTGGTCCTGGCCGCTAGGCCAGGCTCTCTGTGTTCTGCTTCTCCCAAGCCATAGACGGCCCCTCAGTTGAGTTTCTTTAGTTCCCTGCGGAAGCTGTAGTTACTGTCATGCCAGAGCACAAGCTGAGTGTTGAAGGCCTTTCAACGTAAGTCGTCACAGCTGCCTGTGGATCCTGGGTATTTCCATTCCTGCCCTGTGTTGGCCTGAGGATGAATTTGGGAAGTCCTCTTGGTGGGCTTAACTCCAGACTGCTTAGTGCTTTTCTGCCACGGGTCCTGGAGCAGGCTACGGTGAGCATGGGCTGTTTTACGCTGGATTTGATTTCAGTGCTCTTTCATTGTTTGCCTGAAACACTTGGTTTGCTTTTCTGAGGCCCGTACATCAATCACTAGAACAAACCTAAGACACTTAATTTTTGTTTCAAAGGCTCTTTGGCAAGTGACAGTGGACATTCCCTAAATTCAGATGGCAGAGGATATAACGCAACTTGACTTGTCCTCCCATTTAAGGATTTAGTGACAGATTCTGAGAAATGCTTTGTGAAATATTTGACCTGCTATCTCCACCCCCCAGCCTAGCCAACATTGCACTGTTGCTGTTTGATCTCAGCAGATGGCTCTCTGGAAAGTCAAGTTCATAAACAGCA